TCTTCCTCTCCACTGCAAGCTTCTCCTCCAATCTCTGGCCAACCACCACCAAGGTAAATAACTCTTTTCAGCTGGTTTTTGGCCGTCGATCTTGGGCAAAAGGTACCCGTTTGCCCCTTAACTTTTCGAATTTGAGGGTTTTTACCCTCCATATTACAATACATGAATTTTTACCCTCCATATTTTCGAGTGTGAGGAAATGAGGCAAAATTTAACGTCGGAACGTCACGTGTAGCACGTGCACCGTTGGCTTCCGTCAAGTATGCCCATGTCAGCGTCACCTCAAGCTTTTTTGACAACTTGGCATGCCAACTTGAACCCCCATGAGCGGGACCTGCTACCAATTTTATTTGTGGGCTCCACCGCTAACTAAAGGTTTAAAAAAAAAAAGAAAAAAAGACAGATGAATGCCAGAAAACCGTTCGACTCCAAGCATTGTGATTGAGAACAAAGAAAAGCTCTGTTAATGCCACAACCCAGAAAAGGACCACAGAAGGAAACAACTTTACTCCACCCACCAACCGAATCTCCATTGAAGGAATAGAATAGAACATACGAAAGGGACCACAAAGCACAGACGATTCTCAGTCTGTAGTGGGAACAGAAGCAGGTGTCACGGTGGGAGCCAGCATTGGAGCAGGTGCCGGGGTGGGAGCCGGTACCGTGGTGGGAACGGGAGCAGGTGCGACGGTGGGAACCGGCGTTGGAGCGCGGTACGACGGTGGGAATTGGCACTGGAGCAGGTGCGACGGTGGGAACCGGCGCTGGAGCGGGTGCCACGGTGGGAAACGGCGCTGGAGCAAGTGCCGGGGTGGGAACAGGAGCAGGTGCCACGGTGGGAGCCGGAGTTGGAGCAGGCACCGGTGCGGGTGCCGGAATTGGAGCGGCCATGCAAGGGATCCTAAACGGAACCATGGACGAGCTGTTGGAGGTTGGCTTGCCATAATGCAAAGAAATCTATAAAAGATTAAACCTTCCAACCTCTAAAGAGTAGAGAAAATAATTGGCAGAAACATAAACGATCCATTCATGATGTTATTTATAGAGTCCATTAGAGAATTGAAAAACAAGCAAAACAAGCAAAAAAAATAGTTAAATAGGGAAAGCACCCAAAACACAAACACAGAAGGAATGCACAAAAAGGAAAAAGAAGGCATCAATTCATCTTACGACAGGTATTTGAAATGGCCAAAGCTATGCAAACCCCTTTTCCAGATCCTGACATGTCTTCCCCAAGCAACAATTTTGCAAACCTCTCCTTCATCATTTCAATCTCTATACAAATCCCAGAAAGGAAAACGAAAAGGAAACAAAATTAAGCCCATTTTCATTAAAACTAACGACCAGAAAGTAAGAAAGGGGAAAAAGAGTATAACTGACCTAAAACCTTTGAACCCAATTTCTTAAACTTGGAATCCTTGTACTTGGTCTTGTCTTCCTCTCCATTGCCATCAGAAAGAACCGAGCTTTTGGACACTGTAGCTCTCCTAATAGGCCATCCCAACAGAGGAGGCGAAGAGGAACCCATAGTCTTCACTTTCTCAGTGAAAGTCCCCGAACTCGACCCACTAGAACTGCTCTGTCTCGACTCAGTAGTACTCAACTCGCTCACCGACTCAGTCCCATTACAGAATTCAAACCCATATCGTTTCTTCACCGAATTCTCCAATCCAAACAACCTTTTTGATTTGCCCTCGACAAAAAAGCCACAATTTTTCCGAGACCCCTTTAGAAATGAAACTTGGCTACGGCTGGAAATGGGGAAAACATGTTGCTAAAAGGGTAAACTTTGTTCTGGGTTTTGAACTTTAAGCTTTGTTGTCGCTGCTGCCTCCTGCTGTTAAGAACGAAGATTTGATTTTTGATTTTTGATTTTGAACTGGGAAAGGAAGCAGCACGTGCCGTGGTAACGTCTCTCTTGATTGTTTGCTGCTCTCTGTTTCTCTCTCTGGCTTTCACTTTCATTCGATGAGTAGAGAATACGTTCAAAATGGAAGCTTTTCTTTGTTCTTGATCACAATGCTTGGAGTCGGACGGTTTCTTGGTATTCATCTGTCTTTTTTTTTTTTTTGTTTTTCAAACCTTTAGTAAGCGGTGGGACCAACAAATAAAGTTGGTAATGGTGGGATTCCAAGTTGGCATGCTAAGTTGTCAAAAAAGCCTAAGGTG